CGCGGCCGCCGCCGCTTGCTCTGCGACAAAGCGGTTGGCAGGGGATTTGCCCGACGGAGCGCGAGCCACTCGCAGACGTGACTGTGCTGGGTCGTCACCGTTACATTCTTACATTAACGTTATACGTTAATGGGCTGCTTTTTTAAAAGCTGCGCGCTCTGGGGATTCCTGGACACCGATTCTGCAATACCGTCAAGGAATGGCTTACTTCTGCATCTGCTTAGGTGTCTTGGAGGCGTGCGTTTGCGGCACGCGCTTGGACATGCAAGAATTGCATAAATTATGCCAAAATTGCATAGATAAATAAAAATGCAAACATTGATAGGCAAAAACATGCTTGCCCTGATGAAAAGACGCTGCAAAACCGCCCCTTTGACATCTGTCTCGGGGTGTGTCTTTCCCGCCCTATCACCAACTTGCAAGGTGCAATACAGAAAGGGGCGCTCAAATGCTGGAGTTTCCCTCAGTGCGGCTGATTTTGCACGTTACGTAAATTTGCCAGCACAGCAGAGAAAACAAGCGTGTTTGGAAGACGCCGGAGAGCAGCAAGCCTTGGTTGGTGAAAGCGCCCACGGGGGGAATTCCTCCTCCTTTGGAGCTTGTTCGTTCGAATTGTTTGGACCGACCCTTGTAGCTCCCAAGGGATCTCGTCTCAGGCTGTTTTAACTGCTGCTGCATTTGCTGTGAATCCAATCTTTATACAACGGGAGATAACGTTTTATCGAACACCTTTCATTGTGTTTGGGTTGCTCGCTGCCCTTCTGTCATTCCCATAAAAATGATCCTGCAAAGAGTGTGCATTAATAAAATTTTATTTGGAGACTGGGTTCACCCATCACGCCAAGCCATGGTTTGTACAAAGTGAAAATGTGTGGTGTGGAGCGGGCTGGAGGCTCATAAGCCCTGCTGCTCAGTAACAGCCTACTTATTTACCCTCAGAAATCAGCCTGGCCCCTCTCAGAGGGACAAAGAGGAGTTTGACGGTTTTTATGGTGGTTATGCTTTTGTAAATGCACGTGTTTTAGCTCCTACCGTGGACATCTTATTTAAATGTTTCCGTACTGCAAACTGCCCAGCATCTCAATGGTGGCAGTTATAAATACGGTGAGTAACTCAAATTGGATGCATTTGCACCACCACACCCTAACCGGGCCTCGCTGGGGCTTACCATGAGCTGTTATGCCCGCGACACAGCACACTGGCAGAGTCCCGAACAGAGAGATCCGATCTGACTGCTGCGACTCTCGGGGCTTTCTAATCTGGAAAGGAGACCAATGAGGGGACGTGATGGAGGTGGCCGAAGCGATGCGTGACGGGGATCAAGCAGAGGAGGAGGAGATTTCCCCCCCTTCCCAAAATACTAGAACTAGAAGTCACCCAATAAACTGGACTCCTGGAAGACTCAGGACAGACAGAAGGAAATATATTTCTGCCCAACCCGTAAGCTTCGGAATTCGCTGTTGTGAGAGGCGGGGCTGGCTACTGGCTAGGCTGGCTTTGAAAAAGGGACGGAGGAATTCATGGAAGTCCTGGGGATCAGTGGCCCCGAGCCTCAATGGCAGTGGGCTGCCTCTGAAGGGCATCTGCTGGGAGACTCGGGGACTTCCTTGAGCAGTTGGCCGGCCGCCGGGAAAACAGGCTGCTGGATGAGACGGGCCTGGGGTCTGATCCGGCAGGGCAGGGCAGGGCAGGGCAGGGCAGGGCAGGGCAGGGCTTACAATCTTAGGCTGGTGGGGATCCAGTTTGGAAACTCCACTGCATTTTTTAACTGCCAGGAAGCAACTGGACTCAAGTCCTATTCACCCAATAACACTGGTGCATTTTGGTCTGCCCTGCGATCGGTAAGACCCCTTTGGTGACTTCCAAATCTTAGTGACTATGTCTGGAAGAACGCACCTGTGGTTCCTCTGCAATTTATTGAACTAATTTTGGCTGAGTCCATGCCACATTTTAAGCAAGAAACCACAATGGGTACATTACTCAGCATAAGAAACCACATCATGGCTTACCATCCAGGGAAGGTCAAAAAAATCAAGATGGCAGCTCTCTGTTGCACATAAAAAAGACAGGGTTTTGATCACAGCCATGGCTGCCATCTTGATTTATTTGACCCTCCTGTGGCTGCCTGTTTGCCTCTGTTACACAAAGTTGTCTAAATGCTGGAAAATTAATTCCCCATGTTACAAAATGATTGAATCCAACTCACTCAAAATAAATTGGTCCCCTGCTCCAACAAGAGTCGTCTCGCACTTCGAGGTGGGCATGGTTTCCATCCTTTCTTTTATACCCAGCTTGTTTACTTAATTCTGGTGAACGCTTCATCCAGGTCATCTCCAGAACAGTGCACGTCAGGAACAGTTCACATGAAGAACAGCTGGGTAACTTGTTACGATGGCACCTCTCATCCCGTTATCCCATAAATTTATGATATTCACTGCATTCCTTACACCCACCAACGTCCCAGCCTTATCAGTGTAGAGAACTCATTCGTACAAGGTACCTAGCTTACATTCCAACATTGCAGCAACGTGAGTTTCCTAGTAAAGTTCATGAACAGGATAAACATGGCTGTTCTATGGTTATGTGATTGTATACTAAAAGTTAAATTCATTCCACCCATCAGCTGGAGCTTCCTTTCCATTGATAATGCAGTGAACGACTCATTAGGCCACCCTTTGTCCAGGAGCTCCAGGCAGCAAACATAGCACTTCCCTCCTGCAATATCTCCCGACAACAACCCCGTGAGGTAGAACGACTGAGCTTTAGAGGTGGAGGTTGGATTCTTGCAGCCTGGATCTGCAAGAGGTGATTCTGTAAAAACCAAGTTAGGAATCCAGGATCTGCCAGAGGTATCTTTTTAAAAAGCGAGGCACCCAGGATTTCCTACAGCCCCGAGCAGCCCTTCGTCGGGCCACCCGTGCCCCGGGGTTCTTCTTCCGCTGCTGGGGACGGCGCTGGGAAGCGCACCCGCGGGCGCTCCCTCTGCCTCCCTCGGCGGACCAGCGCCCGGCCCGGCCCGGCCCGGCCCGGC